TGTGTGTGTGTGTGTGTGTGTGTGTGTGTGTGTGTGTGTGTATGTGTGTGTGTGTGTAAGGGGGGAGGAGAGGGAGAAAGAGAGAGAGGCCACTCACTCAGCTTAGGAAGCCCCAAAAGTAGTAGCCTTTCTTACCCTGAAGCATTGAAGTGTGCAGAGGTACAAGTTTTAAACTAAAAATGTTTCTACAAGACCAGCAATGTTAAAAAGAATATTTCATGTATACTGGATGTGCCTTTTAGCAATAAAAGTCCTAAGAACTGACCATTATTTTACCTCCATTAAAATCCTCCTTCTAGAAACAGACATTTTTTTGCTCTGGAACACGCTGACTTATTTCCTTCCCACCTTGGGCTGTACCAATGTATAATGCTTTTAAAGTTTACATGACGTCTGTGTTAAAATCTATTTTAGCTTTATTTATATATCCTCATTTATTATCGATGGTGTTAGACTTGGTTCTCAGTAATCCCCAGGTGCAGTGCCTGAGAGGGCATGGATTTTTGGCGTCCCTTGGTTCTTACCCTTCTCCGTACTTCTGCTTGTATAATGAACGCAAAGGCTAGTTGGAGGCCTGAATTCCAAAAAGAGCGGGGGAAATACCCCTTTTATTGTCAGTGACAGTGGAGGGTTTTGGCTAGAGGACCACAGAAAGACAGTAACCGAGAGAACCAGAGCAGTGCTCCGAGCAGGAAGAGGAAGGTTCTTCCTCCTGGCCATCGCTGCAGCAGGTGTGAGGTTGCCCCATGCCCCGAGGAGCTGGCTGTGCCGAGCAGAAGGCCACTGTGCCCAGCAGAAGGCCTCGGTGCCCAGCAGAAGGCCGCTGTGCCCAGCAGAAGGCCGCTGTGCCCAGCAGAAGGCCGCGGTGCCCAGCAGAAGGCCGCTGTGCCCAGCAGAAGGCTGCTGTGCCCAGCAGAAGGCCGCTGTGCACCCATTGCCAGTCAATGCATTTTCTAATAGCCTGAAACTCTTTGTTTTTTTCTATTCTAACAACACGCTCCTTTTTTAACCTAGGTAAGTAGGTGGCATGAGAGCATATAACATTTCCTAAGATTACAAAGTAGAACTAACCCTGTCCCTGCCACTAGCTGGACCCCACCTTCTGCCCTCTCCGGCCACCGAGTCACTTTGCTCATTCGGGGCTGTACTGCTGTGGTAGACTGTCCCAGGGTAAGATGCAGTGGACGGTCTCTCTCTCTCTCCTGAAAACTCTCTACGAACACAGTTGCCAGGAGGCACTTGCTGGCTGAGCTGCATCTGACCCCAAAGGGGGGGACCTCAGCGTCCTCCTTTCCAACTGGCACGTGATGGCTGCACTGTGCACACGTCTACGCACCTCTCCCTGTTTTTTTTTCTTCTAAGTGAATTTTTTATTATCAGTTTGGGTTTTTGCTAAGTAATCAAGGTGCATGTTTGGAATTGCCTAAAATTAGCCATGCAGATCCCAGGTTTAGCGTTGCTTTGGTCTTAAGAGGGAGGAGATCCTGGCATTGCTGTAGCTCTAACCATGTTCTTTTTCAGCCCTGCCCAGCTGGGCTCCCTCTACTCTAGTCCAGTTTGCAAGCTCCTTTCGATCTCCCACTCACCCGTACCAAGACACCTGTTGTCTGTTTATTCTCTGGCTCCCACCACAGCCCGGAAGTGGAAGATAAAGCTTCCGTTCAGTCCCAGTGAACGGAAGCTTCACTGCTCACAGACCATAGTTTTGTGTTATTTGAGAAAAACAAAACCAGACAGTGGCTCCTTCCACTGGACTGTGCCTTGGTTTCAAGAAGTCACTCAGGAATGTCAGTTCCATGCTAAAGGGAACGGGGCATGGGCTCCCTGTTCGGTGTTCAAGGTTTGCTTTGCTCTTCCCATAGAATGGCCTACTCGGATTTTTTTTTTCCCCTCTTGATTTCTGTCAGTCCCGTAATCATTGCATGAGCATTCGCCATCGCTGAATGCTGGTGCTGGCGCTCCTGGTTTTCTTTTCATTTAATTTGTGATCGTTTCTAACTTTTGCGTTCTGTGTTTTAACTTACAGTGCAAGCTTCACATAAAGCCGGGCCAGCCACGGACGCTCCCGCATTCACCTGCTCTGGCAGTGATAGTGCATCTCTGTCATCCGTGCCCTCTTTGATTTTGTGTTGCCTCCCTCCCACATCCCAGTCACTCCTAGCTCACTTTGCTGAATGTTGTCGGGTGGTAGAAAACCGTAGACCAAGGGGAGTAACAGCAAACGCTCGTGCGGCTGGACTTTGTTTCCGGAAAGTCGATGGTTTGCCTTGTATGCCTGTTCCGAGTGGCGGCAGGAAGCATGCCTGTCCACTTGTGTGCCGCTCTGGACCAAGGAGAGTGGGGTAATATGCTACCTGTGCATCTGACGGGAAAGCTCACCGCCTCAGCAGCTGAACTAAAAACCCCGAGTAGTCATGTCAACAACTCGCCTTGTCTTGATTAGTCATCTCGTGCTTGCCCAGCCCCTGAGCTGATTGTTTCTTCTCCACACTGGCCACAAACCACAGGCAGGCTTGGAAGTTGGTGGCAGCCTGGTGAGTGGGCATCCTAGAGGGCTATTTGCTTGTATGACCTTTTCATTTAATCACTTGGTTATTTGGCCCAAGCTTGTGGTCTGCTCAGACCCTCTTAGGGATGGAGTCTGCATCTGAATGCCCACTTCAAAGCCTGGCTGAGCTGCTGTGGCCTGGTGTAAGAAACGTGGTTCTGTTCACCTCCACCAGGGAGTCCCTGATGCTTTCACGGGTCCAGATCTCAAAGACCAGCTCATTAAGTATTGCTTAGCTAGAGAATCTTCCACTAAGGATGCTGGATTCCCACTTACAATGAGGGGATTTACCCCACCCCTGTTCTCCAGACCCTCCCCACCCACCTGCATTTGCCTTAAGCAGGCTGAGGGGAGACCTGGAGGTTGACTCCAGGATATGGCTACTTCTAATAGAAATTTTCACAAGTCGCAAAGAAAAAAAAAACTGCCATAAGTAGTTCAGATAGAAAACTTGCCTCACTGTATTACCTGTAGCACAGATCTAGAAGGGTGGACAGGAGTGAGCACAGTGTACATCACTCAAAGTAGAGAGTGAAGAGGCTGGGGGCCAGCTTCGCTTCTGCCCCTTGCTCATGTTGAGACACAGCCGTCTCTAAGGAATTTTCCTCACTCATCCCTCACTGTGACTAGTTCCTCCTGCTCTGTCTCTTGGAATCATCAGTCACCCGGCATCCCCCTGGGCCAGCACTGATTCCTGTGCCATCTGCCCCATGCCCCGTCTGCCTGCTGTGTGTGAGGGAGAAGGGCACATCCTCTCTCCTGTCCACTTTTCCTTCTTGTCATCTGCTCGGCTGCCCCTCCTAACAAGATCCCCTGGCTTTCCCTGCCGTCCTAACGCTTCTCATGAACCCAGTCCTCGCCTCTGCATTGCCCCTCAAACATCACCAGTTACCCAGGAATGGGATTTTAAAAAAAAAAAAATGCTGCATCTCCCGCTCTGTGACACTTAAAAAAAAAAAAAAAGAATTGTCCAGCCAGCCCCGATCTGATCCCAGCCACGTTTTTATGTTCTCCTTTTCTTCATCTCCCAGCCATATGAAGAAAGCAGGGGTCTTTCATAAACTGATCTAGGCTTCTTTAGGCAAAGTAAGGAACTTGCCTTCACTGGGGTGCAGACCAGGCTGGGACAGAAGCTACAGACGCAGCCGCCGCCCCCACCCCCCACCCCCGCTGCCGCCATCCTCGCTGATGGAGGAGGAGCTCCAGGACAGACACTGGCTTGGCTTCGGTTTCTCTAGCTAGCTGTGAATCAGCAGCACTGGTGGCATGCATGCTCACTAACTGTGGCTGCATTTGCTGCTTCGCTGGGCACCGCGTAAGCGCTTGAGCATTTGTGTCGTATGCTTGTTTCCAGCCACTGCTTGTGTGAGCGTTTTGTTTTTATGCCTTGTAATAGAAAATAACCCTTTGCATTTGGTTTCTCACGTCCCTAAAAGCTTTTTAAGATAAGCTCAGCAATTTTTTTTTTAAATCATCCAGTGGACTTTTTGATGCCAAGATATTATTGATTGAAATTTTTTTTTCTTTACATTTTTTTTTTCCACAGTAAAATAAATCCTATGGAGAGTCAGGGAATAAAAAGCCAAGAGAATCCTTTAAAAAAAAGCTTAAAAAAAAAGAAGGAAAACACAAAAAGCTGTGTTGCTTCTGAAACTCTTCCCCACTGCTCCCCAGCCTCCTGGAGTCTGTTATTGCTGCCCCTTTCTTTCCGTATCTATGCCTTTCTTCACAGTAGTCCCTGGCTCTGCACGGAATAAACGATACTCTCAAATCTAATTGGATGTGCTTTCGCCTTTGCATGTAAGTACAGGAGTGAGAACTCTGGGATCTTTCTGTCTGAGATTAGGGGAAACAGACGGGACAGATGAGTTTGGTTTTTGGTTTTTGTTTTTTTGGTTTTTTTTTTTTTAAGCTAAATGCATCTCTGCCGGCCACGTTTCTCTTTTGTCCCACCGTTTCAGCTTCCTCTTGGTCTCAGTGGAAGTCGAGTATTGGTTACTCATTGCAGACATCGTTCTGCATGGCCTCCTGTGGCGGCGGGCCTTTGATTCTGACAGTGGGAGAAAGAAACTCCCACTGTCCCCTGAACAAAAAAAAAAAAATCAGAAAACAATGTCTCTGCGCCCTTCCTGCTCCCTTACCATGGGGATCTTAGTCCGATGGCCTCACCTCTGTGCCAAATGCAGTGGCCACGTCTTTTTGTTGTTTTGTCGGATGGCCGTGTCTGGCCTCTCTGAGCATCTTTTGCTCCTTCTGGACCGTGCTCCACGCTGCAGGCCGTGACGGGGCGGCCAGCATGAGAATGCGGAGGCGGTTGCAGGACTGTTTTCCCAGCTTGGGCTCTGTATTAGTTCATCCACAGGGGCATCTCTCAGCCAGGGGAACCATTCCCCCTGACTCGGGGCCCGGGTTTCTCCTTTTCCTCTCTCTCTACTTTGCCACTCACCAGCAGCAGCTCTTGCCTCCTCTCCATCCTGTGCACCTCTGATGGGTGGACTTGGCTGTCTCACTTTGCTGACACACCCCTAAGTGTTCCGCAGAGTCGGTGTTCAGGCGCCCCCTCATCCCACCCACCCACATCATACTGTCTCTGTGTGGTCCTTCCAGAACTGTCCATTTGAATCCCTTGACTTTGCCATTCACAAGTGTCTGGACTTGTCAGGTGTCAGTTTCCAAAAGTCCTAGTTCCACGACAGGACGTTTATTACGGAGTTGTTAGCTGAATTATGACCTACAGAGTCTAGTTTGTGTGTCGGTATGAAGGGAATTTTTAAAAAATAAATTGAAAATTAAGCTGTGAACAGCATTAGAACTTTGGTCTATTTCTTGATTTTAAAATATGCTGATATGCCTTAAACTGTAGCTGTAGAACTGTCATTTTTGCTGTTTGAAGATAACCGATGTTTTCTAAACTGTTGTGTAATCCTTCAGTGTTGATACAGAATTGTCATGTATGTACGCTGCATGTTAGACACTTGTCATGTTTTTCTAAGAACTAAAATAACTGTACTGATCGATGTGAAGCATCTCGTTCCTGCAAGTTCGAAAGTGCTGACTCGGCGGCCCGCTGAGTTCCCTCCAGTGTCTGTTAACATGGTGTGGTGACAGGTGACCTATGCATATATCACTAGTGCCAAGACGTAAAACGGGAAATATATTTTTACCCAACCGTTGTCCTGTGTGCCCGTTTGTGAGTTCTTTCCAGCCCCTGCCTGACATGCCTGTGTACACACGCGTGCTTGTTACCTCACATAAAGAGTGGGGACGCCGCCGTCCCCTGCCGTCTTGCCTTGTGTGGTGGACCTCAGCGCTGCTGGCTGGTCGGCCCAGCTTCTCCAAGACGCTTGCCCTGGGGTGTCCTGTGGCTCACACATTCCTCACCACAGTCCTTCATGCCCCTGCCTGCTGGGTGCATCCATGACCCTCAGTGTCCCGCAGAGGCATCCTCCCCTCCCTTGGTCCGGGTGTCCAGTGTCCACACTGCCACCTCACCCCTCCCCTCGGCCACGCTTCGTGACACTGGCCCTTTAACGGACACACCGCTGCCTCCACAGCTGGTTGTAGGAAGTGTGCTTTTTTTAATTTTTTATATTTTTTTTGGCTTTAAGAATCAATTTGAATCTGAACCTTTCTTTTTTCTCTCTGTAGCTTCTTCTTTATGTAGCCATCCCGTTGCCAAGCCCTACTCTCTTAATGGACAGCATTAGAAGAGCAGGAGCTGTCTGCTCACACGAGTTGGGGAAGAGTTACCTCATTTCCGTCATCGCCTCCCGTCCTTTACAGTCGGGGTCACATACTGCACTGCTGTTTGTGTTTGTCAATGTCTGTTTACAAGCCACCACCCTCAGTGGCCACTGAAGTGACTTCAGCTACCAAAAATAGTGACGATATTATTGAGAGTGAAATAGAGAACTTGGGTCCGAACCCCGGGTCTCGGGCTGGAATGCTCTTGCCTAGCTGCCATATTCTTGAACCTCCTGATCTAAGACCTTGTGGACCGAAGAGAGCATGTACCCCACTTGAGGTGGGCACCACCTGTGGGGCAAACTTAGCTCATGGTACCCCTTGATCTCTCTCCCCCGGGCAACTCTGACCAGCCCCATCAGGCTCCTCAGCCATCAGCAGGTCCTAAGAGTGGGACAACCCTTGCCTTCTGTTAGTTTTGTGGGTTGTTTCGGTTTGGGATTAAAGAGAAAGTGTTTGCTATTGCATGTACAGAGATGGCTGCAGTTTTTCCTCGGGAACGTCCTATTGATACGGTGTTTTTATTTTTCAGCTGACCATCTGCCTCTTGAGAGAAAGAAGTGGGCATCCTTCCTTTAAGTTCAGGAGCCATTTTTTATTTGACCCTGTTGCCTGCGCCCCTTACATAAGCTAGCTGTTGGAGAGGAAGTTCTGTTCGTTTGGGGGGCGGGGATTCCAACCAGCCCGTCCTGCTTTTTGTATCTGTTATTTAAACTTACTTTGGGTATCCAAAATTATGCCGGTCTCAAGCTCACTTCAAGGGGGAAATACCATTACTTGTAAGGCTCACCATTCTGTTTAATATCTTCCTATCTTAGATGCAATTTGAAAATGCCCCTTTTTGTTACTAGAGTTTTGATCTACAAGTCTTAATTATGTTTGAATTGTGCCAGTGTTGGGTAAATGACTTTTCTGCCTCGGGGGCTCAATTTATATTTAAAGATATCTTAAAATAAGTTCTGGCCCGTCCCTGCCTCTGTGTCTGTTCTGAAGCCCTGCTTCACCTCCTGTCCATGGTTTTTCTTTTTTTTTCTATTTTAAACCATGTAATGAACACCAAATAATGTATGGATGCCCTCCCCAATAAGTGCATCGGTAACAAAGGTTCATGTCTTCGCAGAGGGACTCACATGGCTTTCCCCAGACTATCTGCAAAAGGTCTGCTGGGGATGAAAGCATTTGCATAAGATCACTTAAAATCCACCCAAATCCAGAAACACTTGTGCCAGTTGAGCGAGCTGTGATTTCCAGTGCAGACCTGTCCATCGGGCTCAGGGCTAGGACACTTACATATTATTCACCTCTCAGACAAAAGTCAAGGGACAGCTTCCAAATTCCTTTCTAGTGGAAAGAATGTTTGCATCTTAAATATCTCCATCTCCATAAGAGGTAGCTCATGGCACTGGAGTGAGTTGCGTTTGGTCAGAATCCTTTGGAGTGGTCCTCTAGGTAAGAAAGGTACAGTGCTTTCGTGGGCCAGTGAAGACACTGGTCCTTAGTGCTGGGAAGAGGTCACTTAGAGCCACGGGATGCTGTTGGGAAGCAGCTTGCATCACTAGAAAGTATTTCTAAATGTGAGGAAGGTCACTTCCCCTGGAGCTTGTACGCGACCCAAGCATCCCATCCCAGTACACAATGGCAGCAGTTCTGAGCTGTGACTAGTGGAAGGGGTGTAGGTACCAACTCTGACACCAGAATATTACACTGCTGTGTGAAACGTAAGATCACGCTGAAACCACTAAGTATTACTATTATTCCCTTTATTCTTTCAGTCCTTTAGTGTGAATTTTATACCATCGTTCATTCATTTTAAAAGGCATCGTTTCAGGTCATAGTCTGAGCAATGTTTAAAAATCAAGTCGGGCAGCAGGGGTTTGCCTAAGAAGAGTGTGTAGTTTGATGCTTCTTCCCTTTGTTCTGAGACCCTGGGTGAGAAGTGTGAGTGGCTCGTCCTCCTGGCATCGGGGAGTCCAAGCAGGCTAGCGTCTTCAGTGACCGACCATAGGGACCCCGCTTGTGGAACCCACTGGCCAAGACCTGGTCCGTCTCCTAAGATAGACTGCCATTCACCTGGCATGTTGCTTCAGGTGGCTCCTTTTCTCAGATGTTGACAGAACTGCTGAGTCCTCAGATCCTCCTGTCAAGTTTTGCTGAGGACGGTCACCAGCAATGACAAATGTATTGGCTTATCCTAATCTAGACTGTAGGAGAGAGAACAGAACGGAGCCTCTAGAACCCGTTTCTGATGGCAGCAGCCTTTATGTTCTTCACTCAGACTTTAAAAAGCACCACTCGGTTTCAGATACTTGCTTATCCAAGTATAGTTCTGCTTGAGACCAGCACAGTACGTTATGAAGGAGAAATATGTCCTGAATTAATGTATGCTGAGCTGAGGTGATTAGGGGGGGAAAAGGCACACATCTCAATATGCTTGACCAATCATGCAGACCTTTCAGCATCGATGGGTGGTACCAGCCATACAAAACTTTCTTTAGTTGTTCTTTGTTCACCACTGACACAGATTATGGGGCAAACGGTTTCGGATGTCTAAGAAATACAGTTGTGACCGTATACAATGACCTACACAAAGCCTTTTGCTTTGCAGAAAGCCATCTTTCTGCCATGGAGATGGACAGGGCTCTGGAGCTCCTTCAAAGACCCTAGTGCTTGAATGCTTAGAGTGACACCTAGTGTCTGCCACCATCTAGCTTCCAGATCAGTCACTAGCAAGCAACTGCTGTGCCCAGACTAGTGGAAAGAAGGAATGTGTTGCTTTGAGTCTAAATGCCCATTCCCTCCCACTCCAGCCTCCTGGTCCCGAATGGTCTGTAAGTGCATGTGTGGATGTCTGCAGAACATCACATGAGATGCAGCAATTTCATGTCTGCCTTAGTGGTGGTGCCGCCTTTCAGTCCACTGCGGAAACTGGGGCTGCCAAATGAGTGGAGCAGAGGCTGTTACCCTGAGCTTGACCCTGTCCCACAAAGCACAAACCCTGAGCTTGACCCTGTCCCACAAGGCACAACTTAGTGAATGAGAGGAATGGAGTAACATGCCATAAAAAGCCGGGCTCCGCATGTCTTCTCAGCGGGTTTGGGGACAGCTCTCGTAGCTGTGTGTATCCATTCCTTCCCCTTTCTGAATGCTGTAGTCTGTTCCATGTGCCCAGCCCACACTGGGAGCTGAGATTCGCCACATGCTCACTCATACTTACTCCTCAGTGTACCTCTTAAGCACAGCCAGTGTTTGGAGCCAAGGAAAGGGATGCCAGTCTCTTACTCGTCTGAGACAAATGTTCTGAAAAGCAGTAGGGCTCCATCCTCCTACGAGCACATTCCATAGCTATTTGCTAACGTTGGTTTTCATTCTGGAGTGTCCTACTCTTCAGCTGTTTCCACCAAATGAGCAGCAAGTTCACTGAACACAGAGGTGTTAGTTTTTTCTTTCCGCTTAGCTGTGTGTAACACAATAAGCTGAACAGTTCTGGCATTTGGTAGACTATGAAGTCAAGAGTTGTTCTTTCCACCCTTAGCCCAGAACTTGTATAGCAGGCAAGACATTCTTGGTCACCTCTTGACACCTTTTCAACAAAAAGTAACAGAGCTGGCCCAAACAGTTTCTCTCTGTCCTATCCTGCATCTTACACATCAGTGTATGCAAAACCCCATGAAGACAAATCGATCAGGAATAGAAAATGTCCAGTCTAATTCCTAATGACAATTATTTTAAATGTATGCACTTATCTCTCGTGTCCTAATGATTGGTTAAATCCAACTCAAACCAAAAGCCGCAAGATTCTGGGATCTGGATGCCTTTCAGTCTTTTTCATTTATTTCTAGTCTCCTTTGTGGGACTACACACAACTCACTCATCAGGGTGCTTGATGTATATAAGTGGTTCTGGGTTTTTTGTTTGCCTGAGACTTAGTATGCAGCTATTATCTGCTCCCTGCAAATTTCTTCAGTCTCACAAGCTTCAATGGTGGAAGGGACCCCAATGGTGGAAGGAGAAAAACCTGCTTCATCCGCACACACACCCCGAGATGGAGTAAAATTATAACCACAAAACATGAGGATGTATCAGGAGGGACTTAGTCGCCAGGTGATCATTCATCTGCTAGTACCATAGTGAACCCAAACACCACAATTTCTCATGAAGTTAAAAAGGTGATTTATTCTTTTCCTGGGAGCACCATCTAGTGGCCAGAACTCAAAACATTAACAAGGGGTATAGGAGACCTCATTAACATAGCTTAAAGGTTCAAGAACTTGGGAGCTTTCAGAAATAGCATTTCTGTTAAAACTTCCTGTCAGATAAAAGGTGAAGATCTGAGATACTTTGAAGACGAACTTCATCCAACCCTGCATTTGTTGTGATCTGAGGGTATTTGCTTCTCTGAGTGGTGAGAACATTTGGCACAGTCCCTTCCTTTCTCATTGAGAACATGTTGCAGGAGCTGAACCACGTTTTCTTCTACAGGAGAGTGGCCGTCACATTGCTTTGGGCAGTGATGAAGTTCAAGTACAGCTTGCTTCACTTCAGGGTCCTGGGTAAAGCGACATAAAGTCATAGCAGCCACTGGGATAGTTCTTAAGCAGGCAAGCAGTAAAGTGGGAACCTATGGATTCTCACCAGCTTCCCTCAGAGCCAACCCTGGTGTCAGGAACACTAACAAAACCTGTATCTGACGTTCAGTCCCAGCCCCCCTTCCTCTCCACCGATAACCAACTTCTTACCTGTCTCTTAGAGGATGCAGTGACTAGCTCCTAGTTTCAACTTGCAAATACTACACCGTGCCCATCCTTTGACCTCCTTCCTGGAGGAGTCAAGGATGATGCCTCTTTTAACCACCAGGAGGCGACAGACAACATATGAAGCTCAAGCTTCTGAATCATTGGTAGTTTGCAAGTAACCCCAGTAGCTGAGGGAAGACTAGAAAAGAAAGTGAACAGCAGGAATGCTCTCCACAGAAATTCTAGTGTTCAGTGTTTGCTTTCAGTCTCAGGCTGAAGTTCTGAAGAGTGGGTTTTGAGGGATGGCTGGGGGCTCTCGATCCTCACTAGAGTTAGCCGGAAGGAGAGCAGCTCTCAGGTATTACCACTGAATCAAACCACTTCAGTGCCCCATGGAAACGATTCTCCAAATTCACTGTACTGGTTTTTACGAGGTCTCACTATTACCTAGGCTGCCCAGACTAAAGCAGTGTCCTGTCAGCGTCGTTAGTAGCTAGGACACAGATGCATGCCAGCACATTTCCCATCAGCATTAGGAGACCTGGAGATCAAGCAGCCCAAGTCTTACTGTCTCCCAGTTCTGCGATTTGCAGCTTCTGGATTATGGATTAGATATGCAGACTCGGGTTTTATACCCATCTGAGTGTGTGTGTGTGTGTGTGTGTGTGTGTGTGTGTGTGTTCCATTCATATCATACACACTATGAAGCTTGAGCTCCCATAATTTGGAATCGAGAAAGCTGGAAATCGGGATGTGATTTTATAAAAAATGCCTGTGTGAAACTAATCCCTTGCGCGCACAAAACCATTTTTTCACTTTTTCCTGTCTCCCAACTCCCATCCTCACACACACAATGCTTCCCCAATTGGATTTTTAAGGTCATATAAAATAAGCAGTTTCTAAGTCCGATGTTGACCTGAAGATACTCTTGCTCTGTTAAACTTATAATCAATGAGCTAAAAGTATTACCTGGATGTAAGCTTGAGCCTGCCCTCACAGGTGCTAACTATAAGGTCCACAGCCCAGCAGCAGGAGAAACTCAAGGGCAATCCTTGTGTGTAACCATTCACACTCCATACCCTTCAATTCCATAGCAGTCAAGAAAGATTGTTTTTGGGTTTTCCTTAGTTGAAAATGAAGTGCCCAAGAAGTCAGAAACTGTACCTTCTTCATAAGCAAACCAACCAACAAAAAATCCCACGGAAACCAGGGTTAAGGACAACATTTTATTGCTACCAGAGGCTTTATCACCAGTACATGGTTCTGACTGCAGTGTGCCTTCTTCAGACTGCAAAGGGAGCTCAGGGTCCAGAAGTCAGAAAAACAAGGGGAATAACTTGTTACCAAGAAAATCCTAATAGCTTAATATAAAACTAGGGTACTGAATTCAATTATAAGTTATAGACTCCAATCAGGGCTGCCCCAATATCTAGACAGTTGCTCCTAGTGATTTTAAATGAATGAAAACAGATCATTTACAAAAATCTAAGTATATGTTACATGTTTCTTTGGTGAGCACCCGGGATATATTAACTTTATAAGAAATTCTTTATACAAATGTCAAAAATGCTCAAAATGTAATAATTACATGCCATTTTTAAGCTTTAAGGTAAACAAAAGGACAGTAATTTTGTTTTTAAACTAAAAACTGGAATGAGACACACAAAGAGAACTTTTTCATTACCACTGATTCATGGGGATAGCTTCAGAGTGCCCTTTTCAAACTAAGGAACTTGAGCCATGGATTAAACATGGCTGCCACACAAAACTAATTTGCTGTAAAAAAAAAAAAAAAAGTTGGGGGCTACCTATTCAGTGGAAGTCAGAACACATACATCAACAAGCACAAAACTTATTCAGAATCCAACAGAGAGGCAAGAAAAGGTGAGAGAAAAATGAGGACACTGGGAACAAGGTCTCTAGCTATAAATTTTGCAACTTTTTCCCCTTACATGGATTTTTATTTTATTTTTTTGGACCTGGGACAAACTATTATTTTAACAAAGAAAAAAGTGGAACTGTCATAGTACAAAGAACGTTTTCTTTACTTTTCAATCTATTTTGGATCTTGAGTCTATAAATATATGCCTTTATATTAAAGGGTGTTGAATTGTAGTAGCCGCACAAAGGAACAGGGGTGTTTTTCTTTTGCCCTGGCTCACTTCAGTCTGATAAAGCACACGCCCTTCTCTGCAGCCTTTCCTGGGTCTCCAGCCGCACTTCTGGGTAGTCAGCCTGTGTGCACTGGAAGGGAACTACATGACTGACACAGGCTGCAAAGGGGGACAGGGAGAAGCAGGCCCCTCTTGCCTGGCTAAGTCAGGGCCACACACAGAGCCCCCGTTCTCTGCCGCAGTGTCTTCATTGTAGAGCCGCTTGATCCCATCGTAGAAGTCATCCACTTCCATCTCCTCCACCTTGCGTTTAGCAGAGGCCTGCTTGCACCCACCTGCAGCTGGGAGGTGATGGCAGAAGGCTGCGGTACCTCTGACTGGCACTTCTGGCTTGCTGTTGTCCTTGGAGAAATCTGGGCCTGCGACAGAGGAGGGATGTAATCTGAACGCTCCTCTGTCGCAGGTCACCAGGGTGTGCTTGAGGGGACGGTAGACATAAACGGAATTTAGAGGCAGGGAAGACTGCAGAGCAGAGAGGTGATGTGCCGCCAGCTCCCGACAGTGGATCAACTGGGAGCTGTCCATCTGGACCAGGAAAAACAAAAGGCCGTCGCTCATTAATCCACACAGACCTGTTACCTTTACTAGGCACTGTTCCGGCCTAGGTCTTCTCTCCCTTCAGCTTCTTCTCTCCCCACCACACCCTCCACCTCACTCACGGATTCTTCCACCTACCGGGTGTCCTTCTGAAATATGTTTATATCCATGATTCAAACATAAATCTGAACTTGTGTCTCGGCACTTATGAACAGAAACTTCCCTGTTCACTGCTGCATTAGCAATGTCTTTCTACAAGGCCTTTTTTACCCCACTCTCTTGAAGACAGGCACATGGCAGTCAACAATTTAAGGAAGAGTCAAAAGCAATGGAAACCATTCAATTAGGGTGATAGGGAAGTTCACTTAGCTAAAAAGATTTAAATATTGTTTTAAAACAACTGGAAATGTTAAAGAAGTCATATTTTTGTAGAAAATAGTAAGACCTCATTAAGAACACTACATAGTTTGGGAACTGGCATTTTTCCCTTATCCTTCAGTATAGTTAGTTCAGATATTAATCCCTTCTGGAGTAACAAACACTTGACCCCCTCAACCTCTTGAATACCCCCAATTTCCATGGTCATATGTTTCTGTTTCAACAGTAAAAGTGCCACAGATTGTCTAACCCCTTGTACACTGGTCATGATCCTGAAAATGTATTTAAAAGGAACACTCACTATTATTTGTTGATGAAGAGAAATGAGAATTTTTTTAAATGATTCATTTTTATTTTATGTGCATTGATGTTTTGCCTACATGTGTACCCATGTGTGTGTGTGTGGGGGGGGGGTCTTGATCCCCTGGAATGAGAATTATAGACAGCTGTGAGCTGCCATGTGGGTGCTGGGAAGTGCTGGGTCCTCTGGAACAAGGACCAGTGCTCTCAACCACTGAGTCATCTTTCCAGCCCCCAAGAGTTATTTTATAGAGGTGAAGACTATCAAAAACGGTGAGACGTTAGAAATTATTTAAATAAATACCATCTATTTGAACTCTACTTTCCATTGGGGTCCCAAAATAAACCTTGTCCAAAATAACACATCAAAATACATCCTAACCTAGCACAATATGAATTTATCCTTTTAAATAACAAGCCAACCCCAGTCTGCTGCTTTTGTAGTAAAGTGTACTTAAGTACATATACTACAATTACCAACTCTTGGTGCAGACAAATCCTTGATCTTGCTCTTAAAATTTAAGCATTTAAAATAATCCATCTATTATGTGCTCTGAGAACCTTTACTAGCCATTTTTATGACTATGTCACCCAAATTCCAATATGGTGACCATTTCTAAGTATCCCTTGTCAAAAACAAGAAAATATTGCTAACCACTTAGAAGAATGTGTCCAGCAGCCATAAAACAATCACAGAGGTTCCCAATAAAGAGGGGAGCACAACAGCATGAACCGTGTTAGGTCCCAGAGTACCCACATGTGGTGAGCAGCACACAACACTGAAAATACCTGTTGGAATATTAGGCACCTTCAAGAGTAACCAAGAGTCTATGGTAGGAGAGTGTGCAATTTAATTTTAGTTTAAATAAGAATGTCTACTTTGACCACTGCTTACCAGGCAGCTATAGAGACCACAACAGAATTGACACCTGATTACCTGATAATCAGGGTGGGTCACTATAGGTTCAGAAAGTGGAGGACACGAGCATAGTCATATAAATAAACTACAATAAAGGTGTGGCCATCCTAGCGTGGAGATCCACAGTGGCACAGGAGCATTAGAGTGGGCTGAGTGGGGGGAAGCCTAAGAGGAACAAGAGGCAGCTTGCCTTTCAAAGCAAGAATGTGTGCCAAGTCCAGAAGGAGCAGAGGCAGAGTGAAGACAACAGAATGCACACAGAACGAGGTGAACTCAATGGCAGAGCACTTGCTTAACATGGGAGGGGCAATACCGACATGATCTGATGTCAAGTCTAGGTCTTGTCATGGGTCCACTTACAAAGAAACAAGACCTTGCATTCTGATCTACAGACAGGCGAACTCAGCAAGGACAGAACTATGCCCAGAACAACTAGCAGCCATCATGCTGGGTCCCCAAGGATGTCCTCATGCCTGCACATAAGAACCTCACCCACTGAGCCACTTCTCTAGCCCGGGACTAGACTCTGTAAGATCTGGGTGTTACAAAACAAAAAGGGATGGAGATGGCTCTGGGGGAAGAGCACCTTCTGCTCCTGCAGAGGACTAAAGTTCGGATTCCAGCACCTCCATCAGGTAGCTCACAACACATATGTACCAATCAGACCACCACCGCCCCTTTTCCTACGCCACTCTAACGAACTCTCCAATTCCCTAAACTGAAGCTCTAACTGATGAGCAGAGTGAGTTCTAAGATCCCATCAAGTCAGCTAAGGAAAAGACAAGTTTAAATGAGGAATTTCTTTGGGTCCCAGAACACATACAAAGAAAACTCATCAGTCTCCATGGGCACCAGTTTGCAAATCTAACCCTGAATTCTCTCAGGGGATGAGCAGAACAAGGCTTGTCAACAGTTACTAACACACGGCACTCTCACCTACTACATGTGAGTAGAACTGTCTCCATCTAAACTTGGCACTGTACTGAGGTGGTTAATATTTGAAACCGTTTGAAAATACCAGTTACAAACTGGTTTTTTATTTCAAGCTGAGGACTAAACCCAGGCCCTTCTCTACCACTGACCTAAATCTCCAGTCCCTCTTAGATTTACTTTAAAACCACATATATATAATAATCCTCTCAATTCCATTAAGGAAAAAAGTGTAGTAAACACAAGTGAGGCTGATAGCTACCTGTGCTTTCTGAAGCAGTTCAATTGTAAGAGGAAGCCAATCGGGAATGAGTTTCTCCATTTCCAAACTAACCATGGCCAGAGCAAGCATGGATCCTTTGAACTGCAGAAGTTGGTTGCAGGCCATACAGTGAAGTAGTTGCTTGGTCAAGACTGCCAAATGTTGAGACGGACTCAATTTGGGCAAACTGAAGAGTAACTGAGGCCTAGTGGACACCGCAATGGCGTGGAACTAGGATGGGGAGAAAAACCACAAAACTGTTACTGAAGGAAAAGAACTAGGAAAGCATACACAGAAGTAACTTCTCGGGTACTGGGCAGGTTTGTAATTCAGTGATTTGATATATTTTCAGAATCTAATTTTTCCTTGACTAATTTCAATAGGTTTCCCCAAATCCATACAAAATACATCAACAGGAAACTTCTGTCCAAGTTACTGGGCCAGAACTATGTGTTCCAGTAAGAACTAAAACATTGTGAATATACTTACAATATGAAGAAAATCCAATGGTGTGGCTGTGTGAAGATCCCAGTTCAACTTATCCAGAATAATTCTCTCCATTCTCAAAATCTCAGATGTGGAACAGCCACAGAAACTGTCTCTTGCCAATACCTTTAGTACTGGAATTTTCTATCCAAGGCAAAAGGAACAGGAAACAAATGAACTCATCTTCAGGTCAGAAATGAACCTGACAGAATGTTCTGACAAACAAAATATAAACTAATAGAGAAAAAAATTCAAAAAAATAAAATGAACGGGAGAGGTAGCTCAGTGGTTAAGAGCAGTGGCTATTCTTCCTGAACTTGAGTTCAATTCATTGTGACTTACAACCGTCCTAACTCCAGGCCCAGAGAAGCCAATGCCCTTCCTTTTCTGACCTCTGTGTGCACCAGGCACAGTACACATACATACATTCAGGCAAAACACTAATCCACATAAAATAAAAATAAATTTTAAAAAAAGCTGATCTTCTAAAGCAAGCATTTTAGAGGGACAACACATCTAAACACTTAACTGAAACTGTCATTTATGTAAGACAGCATTCATTTTTTTAAGCCCCTAGGGCCTCAAGCGGCCAGGCCCTGCTCCCAGACTACTCTAATGGCTGTGTGCAGCCCCTGGAGACCAAGGGTGGCCAAGCTCCACCCTACAGAGAAAAAAAGCCCAAGATCAGGCCACAGAATCCCACCAATCCCTGAGCTTGAAACCCACTTATCTCTGACCTTGCCCCACGATCAGGCCATAGAACCCCAATTTCAGACAACCCTGGAAAGCCCCAGCCCCAAGAAACCCTATATAAAAAGCCTGCCTCCTCCTTAGTTCTCTGCTATTTCTCTTCAGAGAAGAGGCAGCCAGGCATCTGTGTCTTTCCCAATAAATCTCTTGTGTGAGGGTTGTTGTGTGGTGTGACTTTGTGGTGTTCCTTGCCTCCCAACTGCAAGGACACCTTTCCCTCAGAACTGCAACACTTGTTACTAGGGAAGCCTCTCCCCTCAGAAGTGTAACACACGTTTAGCAATAAAGGTTTCATTAAAAGCAAATGGGGGCTGGTGAAATGGCTCGGCCGCTAAAGGCTAGGCTCATAACCAAAACTACAAACAAACGAAAAAATGCTCCAAGTAAAACCTACCAACATAGAAAGAATAAACTTGAAAGGATTCATTACCTCATCTTCTTCAACAGTTTTAGCAGCTAGAAAAAAACAGCTGATTGCAATACAATTCAAATATTTTGGATGGGCCTAAAATTTTGAAAAGGAAAAAAAGCAACGTTAGTGATTATACTGAACTGAGCTTTTTCTGTTTTTAAAACCTAAATATACATTTAGTTCACAGTTTCCCCAGTTTACATCTTCCTAAGCACAAAAATAAGTTTCTTTTCTGTTCTTTCATACCCACTGTTAAATAAATGCTATGGAAAGCTCTAAACGAATCATTTCCAAAATTTTAAAACAAAAGTAATACTGTCCTCCCGACATCTCTACAACTGCCATGACAGCGTTTTTACTAGTGACCTATGGCTTAACACATAAGTCCTTGAACAAGAAGCTGTGCTTGAGAATATCTTACAATACTTACTTTGACCGTAGCTAAAAACCTGTCCAAAAGACTGCTTGCCAGAGCAAATGTTTCTGGGTAAAGGTTGAACTGGTATTTGAGTTTGGCCAACCACTGAATTACTTCATCTCTCTGGGATGGAGAAACATTCTATAAGGGAATTAAAAAAAAAAAAGATTACAAAGTTTCAGTTCTCATTAGGTGTACATTTAGAGTTCTCTAACTAGGGGGCTGAGGACACAGCTTAGCAGGTCAAGGCACCTGCTGCCAAGCCTGATGACCGGAGTTCAACCCCCGAGATTCACACAGTGAAAGGAGAGAACCAACTCCCACAGGCTGTCCTCTGACCTCCCACATGTACCGTGGCACACGCATGCCCACACACACAAAATGAAAAAATGTGACATGTTCTAACATTAGGAAATACAAGATAAAATGCACTAATAAGTTAAAATATTTTAGGGTCATTCAAAATTGCACCTGAGATAAATGAAAATTTTATATACTATATCACATTTAATATTATCTGATAATTTACTTTATTAAAATCTTCACTATCCATTTTACCAAATATCTATTATTTGAATTAAATTTAGATATTCAGGAAACAGTTTGAATTAAGTTTAGATATTCAGGAAACAGAACATTTTAAAATGTAAGTAAATCACTACTAATTGATAATTTTAAGTTTTCTCAACTCTTGAGAATAATATAATTTCTGAGTCAGGAAATACCCATTAGATTATCTTAGGAAATATAAATGGACCATCAAATCAAACCAAAGGATTAGTCCACTAAAAGCAAAACAATCATTTTAACTTCCCTAAATACTATTTTGAACTTCTGAGTAAAAGCTTACATTTTAAAAGGTATAAATACACTTTAAAATAGCAGGTAAAAATTATTTTACTTTTACCCGAGTTTCAGTAACTACTAAACAATGAGTGTACGACTGATGCTAAAAGAGGTTCTTTTAAAGACTCCTTACGGGCCATATGAGCCCAGGTGTGTCCCAAACTCACTCTGTAGTTGAGGGTGACCTTAAAGTTCCACTTCTCCGGCGTCCAGCTCTCCAGTGCTAGACCCAGAGGCCCACCACCACACCCAGTTTATGTATGCTGGGGGTTCTAGGGCTTCATACAAGGAGACCAACTTTCCCAACCCAGCCATCCACCCCAGCCCTTGTATAGCACAGACTGTGTAGTGTGAACACAAGGAGGTGCCAATGGAAGTGTTTTCAATAAAGGACCATCCTACACAATCCCCCCAAGCCCGGAACTCTCTGCTAACTCACCTTTCTTTAAGGAGTTCAGCATAGTGATCACAGTACAAACACTGTTCCTGATTGTTGTCAACCGCTCATTTGATGGGTGATGGAAAACAAAGTGTTCTTCTACATGACCAAACCAACTAATACACTTACACAATTCTGACATCTAGCTCTAAACTCGGTTATAACTGGTATTTTTAGTGGAGAGTTAACATACACCTACCTTCTGGTCAACCCTTCTGGAACAACTTCACAATGATGAATAGAAATACTAGTAAGATAAAAGTGATTTACAATCTGTTTTATTCACAACTCACTCCAAAGTTGGCAAAGAGTGAAAGTTGTTTACACTTCCAAACTTCAGTCTTATAGCCGAGCAGACCATAAAATGGTATTAAAACCACAGTAACATATGGTGCTCTAGGGACAATTGGACCGGTGCGGGAGTGTAATGAAATCTTCAGAGAAGAAACAGCAACTAACTCAATCTTAAAAAAACAAGGTGGGGGAATCATCTGTGCTACAAGATACAGGAGTCTTGGTGTTTAAGCCCATGGACTTTCTGACAGAGGATAGAAATGAACCCCACCAATTTCAGAAACTCAAGGCAGTAACACAGTTAAGCTCTTCTGAAGAGCAAACAAGATTAAGGTAGGTAGGTAGAGAACTGGGGACCGCTGCCCAGAGAATCAATCCTTAGAAATCTGTGATCAAACAAGAAAAGGACTTAAGGCAGTTTTGAGACTAAAGCTATCAGCCTGAAGGTTCTTATTGAATAGAGTCGCAGAAAAATTTATGTACTGCAGACTATTGTCCAGTTTGACTGAAAAATGGAGTCAATTTTTTTTTCTTTAAGAGACAGGGTCTCATGTATCCCAGGCTCATCTCAAACTTGCCACGCCACCAAAGACGACTTTAAACTTCTGATTCTCCTGCTTCCACTACTGGGACTACAGGTGTGCACCACCACACCCGGTTTATGCAGTGCTGGGTACTAAACCCCGAGCTTCACGTATGCAGACAAGCACTCCAACCACAGAGCTACACCTCCAGCCCGGAGTCAGGCCATCAATAACTAAACTGATCAACCCTTTGACAAAAACCACCACTGTCTAGGTGAGAGGACATCAGTACAGCCTTGCAGAAGAGATATGGGTAACTATCAGTTGGTAAGGTCCTTAATTCCACGATTTTCTGTATTTTCAGAGCCCCAAGATACTACTAATAAAATTAGTTCTGTCCCCTAAAGATATCTGGAAGTAAAGGTAGTCTCTTCTAAATAAGAAGTTGAACACTTAAGGAAAATTCAGCCAGCCAAATAAACCAACAATGAAGAAACAAATTCACAAGAGGTAGGTAGTGATACCATCTGATGCCTTTGGGGGGCTCTCAGGAGAGAAAAGGAACAATGACCGGGAGTCACAAGAAACAGGGGCAACACTAACTATACAGTCATGTCAGACATACACTCAAAAGGGAGAAATAATATTCCCAAATAGCAGACTACATCCTTATCTGGTACACTCGACTTTAAACAAACATAAAAACTTGAGACTTATAAAAGATGAATAAAAGGAACACACGTTACTTTCTGCCTTAACCTTCACAGTACAACAGTACTTAATACTGATTCTTCCTTACCATGCTATTTTACATCCTGCTTCCATGGTTAATCATCCCTTCTAAATGAAATACTCCTTTCTCTATTTCACTTGACTTAACACACACACACACACACACACACACACACACACACACACACACCACACACACATACATTTCAAAACACTGGGTATGGTTTTTCAGTCACAGTACTGCTGTGACAACCAGGTCCTGAAGAACCATGATTCTGGAGAGGAAGTAATGAAGTGATTAAGTCAACATTCTGAGATAAGGGCAAGCAGCTAAGAACAAACTGGTAAAACATTTAGGAGAGTTATAGAGAGACAGACAAAATCTGAGACTTGAAAAACCAAGGAACTAACTAGTGGAAGTAGGTGGTCAGAAATCTGAAGGGGAAAAAACAATTACTTGGCTGATGGGATTAGTTAGTTTTTCTCAGAGCTGTGACCAAGTAACTGGCAGACAATTCCCAAGGACGAAGACTTTCTCTGCCTCACTGTTCAAAGATTTCAGTGGTGTATGTAGCACTGGAGGAGGAAAGAGAGGAAGGGAAGGGGGCAGAGAAGTAAATAATAAGGATAAGACAGGATCCTAGAGCAGACAAGGGGGAAAGAGGAAACAGGCAAACAAAAAGGAAGGACGAGGCCAAAACACAACCAAGGTCTGTCCCCAGTGAGGCTCCGTCTCCTAAAGTTTACAACACCTGTGAAAAAAACGGGGCCACCAGCTGGGGACCTTGGCTTCTATACATTGAGTCTGTGGGAGACATTTTATATTCAAACTCTAAGACTGATTTTCCTCCTAAAACATTTCCCAAATGAAACCCTAAAGATGGATAGTAGAGATCTAAAAACGTAGGCGCACACACAGCTTCACTTTTAATAATAGCTGAAGAAGTCACATCCAACTGAAGTCTGGCTTTCATTTAGCCTAATCCTTCCTTGGACTAAAGTGATTAGTACCAATTCAGTCTGCCCGCCAGAGGGAGACTGAACCCTCTACAGAGGGAAGTACCTCTAAGTCCCCACGACAGGCTCAGAATGTAGCTCAAAGGCATAGTTTTTGCTTGGGAGGCAGAATATCCTGGTTTGACCAACCCCTCAAAGATAAAAAATAACTAAGTCTATATACCATTTTTAAAATAACAGAATGTTCAGTGTTGAATCAAAAATTTATCAGGAGACCAAAAACCTAAGTAAACAAACTAAAAGCCAAGAGAAGAAACCAGGCAACTGGAAGGAAGATCTTTATCAGAACAAAGGGTTTATTACTCAAGAATCTCAGTACAGGGGGCCAGAGAGATGGCACTGCTCTATTAGAGAACTTGAGTTCGATTTCAGCATCCCTATCAGGTGGCTCGTGAATTCCTTTAACTTCAAGGAGTCATACAAAGCCCCCTTCTGGACTCAGAGAGCACGTCACACATGTACACAACTATAAAAATTACAGTACAAGGAAAAAACAGACAAAAATGAATTTTGCTAGATAGATCAAATACAACCAAAGAGCTAAAACTAAAAATATAGTAACTAAAAATCAAAATCTCAAGTGTTCATCTAACAAAAATTACATGATTAGTCAGCTATGTTTGTAGCCTTGAAAAAAGATTTGTTAAGTCTAGGAACCAGAGAGTAAAGGCACATTCTGCCAACCCTGGAAACTCCCCAAGACGCATATGGTAGAAGAAAACAACCAATCCCACAAAGTTGTCTTCTGATCCCCACATGAATGCCATGCATACACCCAAGTGTGTTCACATACCCTAGGTAGATAAATGTAAAAAAACTAAATTAGATAATAGAAAACTTATAAATCTAAACACATTACAGTTAGAAGAAAAATGCTAGAAAATAATTTAAGTGTCTCTCAAAGAACAGTAAGTTATATTTTTAAAAAGTAAACAGCAAATAACAAAATGATGAAATTCTGATAAAAAAAAGAGAACAAAAAGCAGTATTGGAAATAAATGTACTCTAAGTTGCAATCTAACACTTCTATATTCATTTCACGAGGGAAACTGCTGGTAAGGGCGATAAAGTAGTAGAGTTGGGGCTGTAGCTCTGTGTTAATAAGCACTTGCCGAGCCCTGAGTTCACTGCCTGGCACAACAAAAAAGCAAACACATGTACAATATACATTCGGCTAAAGAGCAAATACAAGCCAATACCATATTGCTGCCTAAACAAAACCAAGTTTAAGGACAGACTAATGAAATAAGCCAGTGTAAGTCAAAGTCATAGTCTAATCCACTATGCCT